AAGCTGGGAGGGGACATAGCCAGGACAGCTGACCCACACTGGCCAAAGGAATATTCCATATCATATGACGTCATGCTCCATATATAACTGGGGGGTGGGCTGGGACGCAGGGCAGCTTGGGGTCTTGCTGACCATCAACTTTGGGTGGTGAGAAATTGTGCTGTTCATCACTTGTATATTCTTCATTATTATCATTATTGCTATTATTGTCATCATCATCTTCCTTTTCTGTCCTATTAAACTGTCTTTATCTCAACCCATGAATTTTACCTTTTTCTTTTTTATTCTCTCCCCAATCTCACTGGGGATGGGGGGAGTGAGCGAACCGCTGTGTGGTTGTTTTAGCCTCCTGCCAGGTTAAACCACAACAGTTAGTATCTGTGAAGTAGCTGGAAGATACTATTGAGTTGAAGGCATTCTTTCAGAAAGCAGCAAAATTATTTCACAATTTTCCTATAAACTGCCTTCGCTAAGTCTGTCTCTTGTTTTTATTACACTTTTCATCTATTGTAGATAAAGGATCTCTGGTACTAACGCCATTTAAATGACTGTCTCCTGCATATCAATCCTAATCCTGTGATGAATTATTATATCTCGCAAAACAATGTTACAGGGTGGAATCCCAACAATCAGGGTAGCTTTACTTCAAACTTACTACCCGGTCATTACAACAACCTTACATTTAAGTTATCTTGTGTTTTAGAAAAAAAATAGTAAGAGCCCTCAGACCATGGGACTGAAGAACCCAGAAAGGCTTTCAAAATTAAATCTGGGTTCAGCATCTCTGGGAACAAACTCCTCCTGCCAGCCTTTGTGAATAATTTTTCCAACTCCCTGAGATCTTAAAGGATTCTCTTCCTTCCATCACAGCCCACTGGGGTCCCCCCCATATGAGCCGTGACTGGGTTTATCCTACCGGAAAGCTTACTCTGACTCATTACCAGTTTCTTCTCCCAGAAGCAGACACAGCCCGGAGCTTTCCCCAGCGCCCTAAAGAGGCTCCCGCCCACCGCCTCCCGAAATGACAGACCTCTCCCATCTCGGGGTGCACCGTGGGTTCAGCCCTTAGGGAGAGCAGGTGGTAGCATCGGGGTGATGCCCGACCCAGCTCTGCTTCCGCAAGGAGCGGTGCAGGCAGAGGCACTGCCCGGACCTCCCTGCCCACCTGTCGTGGGGAGGATGCTTTCGGCCCTCGCTCCCGGCTTGGGGCAGGGTGCAGCGCTCTGAGTGCCACGGCGAGAGGCTTTATAGACCACAGTGGCTAAAAGCACCGTATGTCACAGGCTGGAGCGATAAATAGCAACAGCCTCGGGGCTGGCAGTCTGGGATATGCTTGCATTTGGTACCTAAAGCTTCTCTGCTGCCTGGAGAATTATGAATCCTAAAGACTTGACATTTTAATGAACTTAGCTATGCTCCCTTTTAACTTCCGAAGTTCTTCCATGCAAATATTTTCTTTTTACCCGCTGCCTGCCCCCTCATGATTTCAGCAGTGAATAAAGAACCCAATGCCTTCAACAGGACTCCTCCTATTGATTTTGGTTCCAAAGTCCTTAGGCTTTGCCTGCATGATTTCAATTCCATTTTAAAGGTTTGGGCAATCTTAAGAACAACCTCAGCTATTTTAAACTATGTTAATTTGATCATATTAATCTACAGTTTGCAGGCTCAGAATTCAACATCTGCAGTCAAAGATGATCCAGACTACTCAATTCTTTCTGGATTTTGTTCCCTTTTTTTTGGAAAACAAACCATCTCAGAATCTTCTGTATTACCTTTTTGGAAGCTGTGATTTATCCAACCAGCTGTGAAAGACTTTCAAAGTTGCACGACCAACTGGAGAGTTGGATGACCAAACCTATTCCAGCGAGGAACCTAAATTGGTTAGACTCATTGTTTATATTAGGATTTTCCCCTCTTAGGTCACAAACAGTCTGCTAGCGAACTGTGAATGAAGGTACACGCTGGCCTTGAGACAAAACCACCCACATTAAGTAAATTTAAATCACTGCTTCCTCCAGGAAACAAAGTGTTGTATTACTTACAAGCAGATTTGATTCTGGTTTAGCGAATTGTCTAAACCCATTTAGCAGATCAAAGGAAAACAGATTTAAACTGATGTGCTCATTGTTTTAACAAACACTGGTTGGTATCCGATGCAACGATTAACATGCTCGATGATTTCCATGTAAAAATTTAGTGAAAATGCAGGCCATAGTAAAGATGGAAATATCAGATCTCACCATTTTCTCAAAATAGCTTCAGATTTCAGATTTTAAATTGAGGCTAAAAATAGCCTTATCCCAACATTTCTGAAACAAAATCAAGTTCACGAAAGCAATATCATGCATAAGCTCTCAATGCCACATTGGCGTCTCTCTTCAAGGCCATAAAAATACCCACCGATATCACTGTAAAGAACACACCTAAAACCCTTGCAAAGAAAATCACAGCTTCAAAGATGTCTTTATGAACATCTGTCTACCATAGCATCCAGTAAACATGCAGACTCATACAGCAGCATGCAAACAGCCTAGCAAAGAAAAGGTTAAGACAAAGAATATCCTCAAAGCAGCTCCAATAATCACTCTAGATTATTCTGTTTGTGAGAAGTATCCTAGCTGGAAAGCAGGAGTAGTATCAGCTCAGAAGATGTTGTTGATCTGACAAAAGCCAAAGGAACCTGCAAACTGCAAGGAGGAAGCTGCTGGATAAAACATGGAGCAGAAGGCTCGTGTTAAGAATCAGCTGGATCACCTTTATCTCCCAGAAATAATTATTTTACCTTTACTTTCAAAGGGGCTTTGGGGGAAAAGATTGAAGGAAATATGGTTCATTTTAGAAAAGCACATATTGCAAAAAAATAGATTTAAAAATCTATTTTTGGGCCAGAATGGTTGAAGAAATCCCTGATTAGCCTCTTAATGGGGTGAGTCCAATTTAGTGAGAATGATCACCAGAGGGAGTCATTGACTTTCCCATTAAAGTCAAAGGGAATTTTACATACATCAGGAGTGCAGAATTTGGGGGCAGAGCTGAGAAAGACTCCAAACAGATTGGAGTTCAGGGACTAACACAAAACACTGTTTTATGGATTTAATCTGAATCCATTTTCCCCTTTGGAGTCCCGAAGGATGACTGCTATATTCCACGGTGAAAGTTAGAGAGAAGGCACTGAAGTCATTCATTCAGTTGGTACATGCTTCCACAAAAAAAAAAAAAAAAAATCCCAGCACTTAATTGGTTTTAGTAGTGGTGTAGAGTAGTGTAAGTACTAACTGCTCAGTTTTCTTTTTGGATATGCAACATATCACAGTCCTTCTGGAAAAGTGATTTTTAACAGCCCAAAGAAAATCTCCATGAGAGTGTGTCATACCTCTTGGGAATATCAGGACTTCAAACAGAAACATAAAAGAGTGAAAAGGAGACAGGAAGAATTGCTGGTACGTTTTTTGGGGTTGTTTTTGGGTTTGGTTTGTTGGGGTTTTTCTTCAATGTTAATGACTAGCAGAGGAAGTGAGAATAGGGATTTGTGAACCAAGTGATAAAATGAACAAAGTAGATGAACCAGTCTACTCAGTCATGAGCAAGTGTGTATTTCATGCTCAAACACCTAAATTTCATGACCTTCAAAGAAATATTTTCATGTTAAGAACTGGGCTTTTCTTTGCCAGACTTCAGTTCAACCTTGCTCTTGCCACAAAAGCCCAGCAGACTTTGGTTTGAAGACAAGCTCATTCACCAGGCAACCCTCCCCTTAATTCTGTACAATAAGATTATACAGCAGAAAATTAAGAGATTAAAAAAAGGCAAGGAAACAGCCCCACCCAACCAAATGCAATTTCACTTCCCTAGAAATGTCCTCTGAACAAATGGAATTCAATTTGTTTCCGTGTTCCCAGGTAACAGCAGCACCTTGTTTTGCTTGTTTATTCAATTACTTCTTCTTGTTCATGCAATTAGCTGAGCGACTGCAGCCTTTTGTTCATTACGTTAACCATAACGCAGTTATTTGCATAGCTGCTTCCATTTTGAGGCTGAATTTTGGATAGAGGCTCTATTTTGGGCTGTGGCAGGCAGAGAACCGCTGGGCAGCCTTGTGCAGGGCAGCATGCAGCAACCTGCTCCTTTGCGGAGACACTCGCTCCGGGAATTGCACTGGCTGCCCATCCGCTTCTGATGGCAAATCAAAGCCCTATTTCCAACATGCGCTGTAAAGCACCGCGTGGCTTAAGACCTGGCTGTCTTTCATCGTATGCACCACCAAAAACCAGCTGAGTTCATCCTAAGGCATTTTTGCCCAAAGGCTGTCCAAGCTTAACTTTACTGCCCTTTAGAATGGTACGAGGCATCACTCCAGTCAACGTATGCTTGATTTAAAATTATCAATACCCATATTATGGTTGGGTGGAAATTTAGAGATGGAGGCTTTCTTTCACGAACAGTTTGATTTAATATCCAGTCGAGTCTAGTGCTGTTGCGATACTCCATGAGTTGTTGCACAGTCAAATATTTTTTTTAAACACTCAAGATATATCCCCAGATCACAAAGTTTAGCAGAATGCTGACCCTCTCCATTAATAAATGCAGCAATCACACACACACACACACCCCGCCCTGTCCTCTGAGAATCTGGGAGTGAACTGATATCACCTTATTTTTATGTAGGTTGCTCAGAAATTGAGGAATCTGCAGCTTCTTAGAGAAACAAGAGGCAGAGTCAGGGCCAGTGGGAGTCTGCATGCTCTGGTGTGCAGCAGGCACCTTCACCTCAGCCTCCAGGCACCTAAACACCCCAAAAACTCTACCTCTCAGGAGAAACTGCACACCAACTTACACTATTTCAAATACAGAGAACTGGAACAGACAGTTTGGAAAAATTGTCAAGCTTTGTAGTTTACAATTCAGCCTTCATATATGACCCACAGCTACGGTTAGGATTAGTTCTGTAACCAATTGTAGCAAGGCGCAGCCTTTTAATGGCATCGTTTTAATCCTACCTGTGCCATCTGCCTCTCCAACTTTGACCGGGGAATATCATCAAAATAGTTTTCATTTCTTCTTCTCCTTGCATCGCCCTGCATGATAATGTGGGGAACGTCCAGGGAGCCACCAGTAGTGAAAGTGCTTTGGCTAAGTGATGGAGACAACTGAGGAGGAGTGTGGTTACCGCTGGGTTCCTGGACAGAGAGGAGAAAAGTGCAGTGTAAGAAGAACAGCATATTGCTGACTTCAAACCACGCATTTAAAAGTGGTTTTGAATTATTAATGATAAAAAAAATTAAGGAACAATTCCTGAAGTAGGGGTTACTGAGGATGAACTTTTGAGATTTGCTACCTAAGGTGCAGAGCCCATGTGGAAGGAAAAATAATCCACTATTTACATGAACTAGTGGCAAATTCCCTCTCCAAAACCTCCTTGTGTAATATATACTCCCTTCTAGGACTGCTAGAGAGATAAAACAGTGAGTTACTTCTTGTCAAGGTCCAAATAAAGCCATGATTTAGGACTAGCTATTTGTAAGATGAAATACATTCTCACCACTTCTGAGCAGCCACTCTGAGCAGTGAAAGTGTTTAGAAAGTGATGTGAACTCTAGCAACATCTCTTGCTGGAAAAAAGAAATGCACGAACATTTAAAAAATACAGACACTTTGTCTGCAATTTTTATAGGTCTTGCAGAACATCCATTTAACTTGAAGTAGTGGATATCAGAAACAAGCTAAATAACAATTCCTAGAATGCATAAAAGCATCAGAGTACAAATATTTTAACGGGCATTTCTTGTAATCTGTGCTGAACTGTGACCTTGTATCACTCAGTGTGCAAATACCACAGCAAATTGATACATGAACTCTATCTAATAAACAGCTAAACATGTCCTCCTGATCACACATTTTACCAGGATCTGCCACCACACCGCTCGCAGACACCCACTGTAATGTGTGTTTGGAAACGCCTATTCTCATGCACATCACATCGCTTGTTCACACATCAATTGCAAACATCGGTGCCCAGCTCCACCGTTCAACGCTGTCTTGGAGATTGCGATCAGCGGGAGCAGAGCTATGGTGAACCGGCCAGCCAGTCTGCGCACAGACCACCCCAGTGTGGACCGTACAGCACTGACAGAGCAGCTGGATGGGGAAACATGCTCCTCTCTCGTGATGTAGGTTACTGGGCTCAATTTATCTGACACTAGAGATTTCTCTGATAGTAAGTTCTTTGCAGGCAGAACGTAGCCAGGAGTGTGTTTGCACAGTGCAGACCTTGTTTAAATTACCTTTGCTGTAATACAATATTTCGATACTGAACAAGAAGGGACTTGATGATATTAAAGGAAGACCTACCCCAGTGTGCATGGAGGGTAAAAACCCCCATGCTTTTTCATTTAAAGAAAGAATTAAAGTGGATATTTCATGCATGATTACATTGAAGCAAACCTAATTCTGAAAAACATCAAGGTACTTTGCTCCATGCTGTTAAGAAACAAGATGTGGAGTAAGAAATCAGAGAGCTGTAATCTCCTCCAAATGGAAAAGAAAGCTGTAATTCTCTGTATGTATTCAAGTAGTAGTAACATCTGATGTTAATATTTGAAGTGTAGGAGTCTATGTGACATTATTCCTTGCAATCACAGTAATGGATTAGTATTTTTCATGTTGGTTGACTAAAATCAGGGATATGTAGTTGTTTAGTAACTTTAATTAACTGGGATTTTTTTTGTTTTTTAATTCTCTAGCTTTCCTATGATCTGAGGCAAGCACTTGACATTTCCCAGGGCAAAGAAAGGAGTGTTTTCCTCTTAGGAATAATCTTTTTCCCTCCTTCACAAAAATCCACCTACATTTGGCCCAGTTAAAAGCTTCTGAAAACCTGTAGTCTGCACATGCTCAGAAGGTTGGGTGAGGCTTAATCTCTAAAACCTACCCTCCACGGGCCCAACTCCAACTAGATGATGCACACACCTCTGCCCCGAAAATAACCTGAGTACAGGGGCACCAAGCGAGCTCCAGCCAGGCAGGTAACCTCTCTCTGCTCCAAATCACGATTCACCCACTGTTAGTAGACTGATAGGGCCATCAGCGCATCAAAGTGACAGATGACCGCGCAATGGAGATACAGATTCCAGCTCTCATCGAGCTTTTGATATTTTATCAAACTGCACATAAAGAGGAAATTCACTCAGAGATCTGTATTGGAAGATTGCTGGCAAGGCAATACAGTCAAGAATTACAAAGTCAAGAAATAAAAGAATTACGGTGCCTCTGCATTATGGAACAGTATGTAATTGTATGATTTTTATGCTATTTTCTCAAAGTCGTCCTTCACAGCACAGATGGATCCTCAACTGTGCAGCATGTTGTCATATACTCAGCGCTGTGTTATCATTAGTTATGGTGTAGTCAGTACTTTATTCTCACCTCGTTTCGTGGCCCCAAACCCCTTCCCTAAACTCTGTTCAAATCCTGCTCTGAAGATAGGATGACTAACATTGTCATTTTCATGATGTTCATAAGTGCTTTATAAATGTCAATCCATTTATTTTCACCACACCCTGTGACTTCTGGCATTTTGTAATCACCACTTTAAGTGTGGGGGACCTGAGACACACAGAGAAAGGTTAAAAAATATCAGTCACTTTAAATGCCCAATTACAGTATCTATTGCCTGATTTTCCAAGTGCTTGTATTCAAAACTCCACTTCTGTTGATCTAATTTGCAGCACTGTGCGCTCAGCACTTGTATAAATCAGACTCCAGACTCCAGTCAAATATGCGGAATGTTGGTAACATACAATTAGTGACTGTTTATGAGGCAATTACCTAAATAACTTACCAAGCGTTATCCAAGGGCTTTGTGGCAAAAGCAGGTGTAAATCTGTATTTTTCATAGCTACAGCTATTCCTTTAATCATGAGTCTCTCTCTCATTCTTCCTTCATTCCTCTTCCTCACTCCAAAACCACTTTCTCATCTCCTTAACAAATCTGAGGACCAGGCATGGATGCCCGTGCAGGTGCTATCATGTCCTCAGTACTGTCAGTCAACCAGGTATTCATATCATGTTTCCACCCTGTTGTGAACGCATGAATACATGCCCCGCAGGGATGCCTGATCATATATTTCACTGCTGAAATCTGCTTTATCCCCACCTCTCAGTCCTGCCAGTCACATAAAGCTGGAACCAAACAGGTCAGGGCTGGCAGGGAGCTTTGGAGATCCTTCCCCGGGCTGCCCAGGTGCACCTTATGCCCCACAGATGTTTGTCTAACCGGTTCCTAAAACCAGGAATTCTCTCTAGTGAATTAATTCTTCCGTTAAAACTATCATTACTATTGTAATGCTGCTTCTCCAAATTTTCAGCCTAAATTGTTGTTCCTTCAGCTTAAATTCCAGCCTCCGGTGCTGATCGGATGAGGATGGGGTTCCATGAATGACATGGAAACCGATCCTGTAATCAAAGATTATAATGTGCTCAAGGAAGGAAAGCAAGATTGCATAGGTAACTGAGATCCAGCATTTTCTAACTTTCGAGTATATGCCTTTGCAATCAAAATAACTTTTCCTTGTGGGAATAACATATTTTATGGATATTTTTAATGTTTGTTGTTTTTCCTCAATATTTAACCATTTTTCCTTTGAAATATTTTAAAAGCTAATACAAAAAGAGTCAAAAAAAGACGAAGTGTTAGCCATGCCTAGGTTGACCTTGGGACCTTAAAAGCAGACTCTTTGCACAACAATCTATCTTTTCTACTTATCTAGAGCAACCTGATCTATTGGAAGGTATCTCTGCCCATGGCAGGGGAGTTGGAACTAGAAGATCTTTAAGGTCCCTTCCAACTCAAACCATTCTATGATTCTATATAAACTGATCTTCTGTAGCAGCAGACAATTTATTTAAACCAATTTTCAGGCTAAAAATTATTGCAAACTACAGACTAAACACTATGTCTTCATTTTGTGTGAAATGGCATAGTAACAGTTGACGGGAAAGAGAACCTTAATCCAAACTCATGTCCTCCTCTTTAGGATTCTCTGTGAAGATTCCAATACCATGAGGTGAAGAATGACATTTAGCACTTGCCCGCATCAGTAGCTCTAGCCGTGGAGCAGTAGCCTACTTTTTTATCATTTTGACTACAGATGGAGGACATTCAGTTTTCTTTTCACTATTAACCGAGAATACACAATCCTAACCAATAACACTGGCTGTGGAAACTTTCCCACCTGCTGAAGAGGAACTAATTCCCCAGTCCAAAGCACTGAAAGTATTGAGCAAAAATGTGCGACTTTCAAATGATTCCTCTGTTTTAACACCTGCCATGCATTAGAAATCATTCGCATAATATATAAAAAATAAAATACAAGAAAAATACCCACACGTTTGTGCAATGTGCCTTAGAGCAGGGCGTGATAGACTTGTGAGACCTTTTTCAACATGGCATTTGGAATAGGTTGAATTTCAGGGCGGGGGGGGTGGATCTGAGAATAAGCAGGGTGAAAACAGGCTGGTCACAGAAATTTTAAGTGTATGTAAAAATAAGCCCTCATTCTGTCTTTCTCTATTTCTCGTTACACCAGAAAATTAAACTTGGGTGTACGGACACTCTCTGACATTTGGAAATTTAGTCCCAAATGAGATTCCAGTCAGAAATGCAGCCCCATGAAAATAATCACACCCAATCAAATGCAAAAGGTGTGACCTAAAATATCAAAATAGAAAGTGTTGATATGAACTCCCTTGGAGAGAACACAGTAGGAATGGGTCATCAGACCACAACTCGGTAAGTGTAACAGACAGCAAGGAAGCAAAGGCATTAGATGGGAGAAACTGAGTGAAGGTGCTGTAATGAGAGGAGATTAAATCTGGTCAAGTGTGGAAAAACCCCAGGGACATTGCAACAACGTTTCTGAAAGAGGGAATAGAAATGAAAATTAAAAACACGACGAAACTTTTGATACACCGAAACATCTTAATGGCATTTGTCTCTCAACAATTTCAAGAGGGTCTCTTTAAAGAGAGCATAAAGCATATGTCTGAAAAGTAAGTGCAAGCATTTTAAAATGTGAAAGGAAAATGGTAACTCTCCTCCCACAACATCCATCGGCTGGGCTGGGATTCCTGTGGGCTAATGTAGATGTGCAGCTTGCACACACCTGGGCTTGAGCTAGTTTCTTGAACAAGGAAGATAAGCTGGTCATTCTAAGCTACTACTTATCTCATCCTAAGGTAGACATCTGAAACAGGTCAGATGAATCACCCTGTAAAAACGTCAATTTATCTCCAGTGGCTATATGGGGAGGTACAACTGAGCAGGTCAGCCTAAGACGTCTACACTGTAAACTTCTGAAATGAGGTAAGTTTAACCCCACTTGAAGCAGCCGTTGTTTTCATGTGAATGTTACGAAACGTTTGTTGACTGTTCAAGAAACACAAGCAAATTTTCATGGCGACTCACCCTGAGGGTTATTGACCGAGGTGGTTTCTGAGGAGGATCTTCGTGAAGCCTGTCTCCCAAAGATGCCAGAACGCGCTTCCGGTGGCCAATCAAGCTGATTTTTAAGACCTGAAATAATAACCAAAAAAACCTCGTTAAAAAGAACACATTTCAATCATTAAATGAAGATCCATTCATAGTGAAGCCATTTCATCCTCAAGCCTTTTAACAAGTTAGTCCATTACACAGGCTAAGCAGACAGAGAGCAGCGTGAGGCAAACAATCAGCAGAGAAAATGAGAGGCGAGATCAAACAGAGGAAAAACCCTGTAAAATGAAGGAAGAAACCAAAGCAGGTGTAGAGGTGCAAAACTGAAAAAGAACCCAAAAGCTCAAAAATGAGTAAGGATGAAAGGAAAATGAAACGAGAAGAGAAGGCAGCAGCGTGGGAGCAGAAACAAGGGAAGGGGTGGAGGAGACTGGAGAAGGAAATGTAGAGGTGGAGGAAAACAGCAAGTGATGAGGATTAAAGGGATTCACGGGATGGATGAGGAAGAGAGTGAAGAACAGCCAGCAAATGCTTAGAGAAGGCAAGAAGGGAGAAAAGGAACCACACAATGAATAAACGTTATCACTTATAAATCTATTCAGCATGCCTTTCATGGGTAATCTCTGAATGACATGTACGGTTCGTATCATCGTGTAGAATCATCCTTGCATAAGAAACACAGGATGGACAAACTTTGTCCCGGAGGTCTATTACTTTTATCAGTGCAATGAAAAAAATCTCTGTTGCACACAAACGTGACTGTCAGTGGATAGGTTCAAATAGCTTGTGCTTGTACAAACTCCAAGAATGCTGCCAAAAAGGCATTCCATATTTACTGCAATTACTCCCCACTTGTATCTCTCTGTGTCCCTGCCATACACAAAACCACCACTGCTCTCAGGAAAGCAGAGAAGGCAGAAGCAGCAAGTTGGAAACTTAAGCATTAGTGGCAAAAAATAATCATATTTCGCTATTCTCTAACGGCTACAATGGCTTCAAAGTGTAAAGCAGCCCTAACTGTAGAAGCAAGCCTCTGCTCTGCAAACAGCAGTGTCCTCACATAACTCTTCCAGACTGTATATATGGTTTCATACACCAGAGCTGCCTCCATTCCCTCTCAGAAGACAGTACTTCCCTCTATATTTAGGACCACCGTGTGTTAACACCCTTCAGTTGAGAGGAATTTCTCACTCAACCCAGAAAAAGTAATAGTCCCCCAAAACCCCCCAAAATGCTACATCTTAAATGAATAACTACCTGAGTTTAAGCAGTACCACTAAGAGCTACCATTCATGAGAACAAACAAACAAGTCCCAAACCCCAGCAATTCCCCTACACGTCTCTTAGATCCAGTATCTCAGGATATGGTACAGCAACACGCTGTCATTATTCTGGTGGGTGAACTCCTGCCTGTCCACAGGTACGTGAATTCATCCACCCTTCCGCTGGATGCTTCTGCACTATCTGATACCACTGAACATCAAGAACATCTTGTTTGCCCGCATCTACTAAGCGATGGGCTACGATGTGAAACAGATCGATGCCTTCCTCTGAGAGGCAGCTTACGGGGTTGTTGCAGACCCTGCGGGTCAAGAGCAGACCCAAGCTGCGGAGTCCCACAAGCCAGCTGTGTGCTCTCCTGTTAGTCTAAATCTGGAGAAGCACGAGTGAAGCTGAGATAGCACAGCACACAAAAATGCCGGAGGCATGCAGGAGACTTAGTTATGTATTCAGTTTACATTGGATGTTAAACAGGAGGGTGCAGTTTATCTCTGTATTTAACTATATGAAACACGTGAATGAACTACAGCTGCTTTAAGCACAGGTAATGCACTTCAGTGAACTTGCTGCTTTCATAACGCTTCCCCAGCATCAAGAGCATTTACCCAGAGATTTTAAAGTCAAACTATAGTTCTTGGATTGTTTTGAGGTCCTCAGCACTCTGACTGCCTTATTAGCTACATCAAACCACACAAAGCAAGTCTCTGACTTCACAGAGCTGTTGAACAACGGGAGAGAAAAGGACATGAGTCTTGAGGGACTTGGCACATAAGAGATCAGCAGACGGGTCTAAATGGTTATATTATTTCAAAAACTGTGCTCAGTTTGAAAGCAATACAGATCTTTAAACACCATAAGCGCTGCTAAGCTTATTCCACCTTTTTTTTCCATTAAAATGTGGTCACTCCAAATCTGAAGTGGTAGGAATTTAAAGATGCATCCTACAGAAACATATGGTCCTCAGCCAATAGGCAGCTGTAGCCCAGTCTCACCTGGACCACATACTCTGTTAACTGAAGACAGCAGTATTCTTCTGGAAATGAACTCCCTAAGAACTTTCTTACTTGGAAAACCTGTTACTCAACTTCCAAATACAAAATACTGTTTTCTGAAACACTTCTATATTTGAGTTAAGAGAGTTTAACAAACACCTTGAAACTCTGAAAACTTGTTCTGTGATGGATTATCCTTGACAGTATTTATAAAAAGTCAAACATCACAAATATAGGTCAACGGTGTGTGCAATGGTAAAGCTGCCTAAAGCAGTAGCTTAGAAATATCTTAATGTTGTGTATCAGATAATTGTTAAAAGTCTTGCATTTATTTAGCCCACAAGTTAGATCCCCCTGAATATTTTCAGGTAACAGCGAACAGAGTAACACCGAGCTATAGGGACAATCAACACGATCCACCTAAGTGCTACGCAGTGAAGCATTTTGTCAAATGGACTGTAGCCTATATTTCATATATAACAATGAAACGAGCTTTGCAGTGCGGCTGCAGGAATCAACTACACGATGTCATGAAACTGTTAAGAGCAGCTTAAGGCTTTCCACAGCCTGTTACTTCGTCACTGGGACAAAAAAAATGTAAATGATATGCCTCTTTCCACACTGACAGGATACCTGAGACAAAAATAATGCAACTCCATCTCATATATTTGCATCTATTTGATGTTGTAATACATTTAAAGGAGAACGGGGCATGTCATTTGTCCAAACAAATGATACATGCACACAAATTTAATCCTATTTTTACCTCCATATTCTCCAATGATTAGCATACGAGATGAAATTCCACTAGGGAACGTAAGAAATCTGCAAATGTAACCAATGCAACAGTTTGCATTTAGATTTCTGACTTAGTTGACAGATGTTTTAAAAAACAAACACATGTAGCCCAGTGACTCCCTGATGACTGTATATGTGCAAATGCTGGAATTAACAAGTTATTCCGTGTAAAACAGAGCATTATTTCTGCAACATTCTTCTGCCTAATCTTTTCTTCTGATTGAAGAATATGATCCAATACTGTCTTTTTAGAATTATTCTACATTTTTTTAAAAATGGGTATAATGATTACTGAGATTCAAGACATCAATTTCCTCTCTTTTGGAATAATCTGAAAGGTTACTATGTGGGGTAAAATTAGTACCATAATAGTTCAAGCGGTCTGGATTAAACATGCAGTGGCAATCAGACACTAGGAACTAGCTACAAAATAGAAAACTGGAGAGTGATCAGAATAGTTCTAGTGATTCTCTGGTAGCAGCATCAGACATTCCAGAATTTAAGAAGAAAAAACGGTAAATATAAGCCAACAAGGTGTGATCTTCCTATTTCTACAAGTAAACAGCCCGAAACGCTAGCAAAATTCAATTTTATTAACCATTTTACTGCTGGTCATATTGGAATAAATGCCAGGCTATCTGGAATCGTGGGATACATTGATTATTAGCACCTTCCTGCCACAATGTCACCCCACAGGGCTAATCCAAAAACATGGCATTGCCCAGAATATGCAGGAAGTGAGCCCAGACCAACCAGTACAGCTCACCTGATCATTGTGACTGGTTTAACTGAAAATTTGAGAATGGATTAAATGCACTTGCTATACAGATTCCCAGCATGGACAACTGCTCAGAATTTTACAAATCCTAGCCATAGAATTGCTGTCAGTGATCAATAGTTACAAAAAAAAAAAAAAAAAAGGCAAGAAAAACCCATACGCCACTTACTGATGAAGATTACATGGTGTACTAATTGGCAGATTTTGAAAGATAAATACGCACGAGTCAGCTGTGATATTGCATGCCCAGTGGCTCACCAATACCAGCCACGGCCAAATCCAGTCCAAACCATATTGAACTTCTGTTGCATTTTTTCACATAGGGATACTTCATGATCTTTCGCATCCTGACCGCAACTGCGGATTTCTTCCAACCCTAAATTATCACAAAGCTTTGCCATTTTTAACAGCGCAGGGATTTTCCTGCAGAGCCCTGACCGCCCAGCAAAGCGCTGGCCCGTGAACATGGAGAGGCTCCTGCAGACCAGGGACTTGCTGCAACTCTGCTAGACGCAAGGCTTCTCTGGTTTCCACAACTGCGGTGGAAGCAATTGTTTATTGTGCATATGAAGAGACTTGTAAGAGACTTATGATTTCATATCATAATGATATCAAATATGTGCCTTTATCCCCTTGAATTAATTACCCAACTGGAAACAGATGTCAGTTGTCTTGGTGACAGCATTTCACAAAAACAGATGGCTGCCTACTAAGTCCCGCTTCTATATGTTATCATGACGAACTGACGTTTGTTTGGTTCCCCCCCACCTCCACTTCAAACATATAATTCAGTTGCAGATCTCCCATTTAACGGTACTGAGAAGTCGGAGGCCAAAAGTCTTCTCCAAGTAAAGGTAATTTTGAATGCCGGATTGTTACGCTCCTCTGAGCTGCAGATTAGCTTGCTGCCAGAGCAGCGGTGTTACAGCGCTGTTCAGCTGTTGCCATCCCAGGTCAGGTTCAGGCGGGTGAGGATTTGTGATTTTTTTGCAGAAGTTCTCAGGATAGTCTTTGGTACTACCCAGGCCGCTGGAATTTTTGCCTTGACTTGACCAGACAAGCTGTTTTTGTCATTAAACTGTTTGCCAAATTCTCATTAGCTTAAGAACTGGCTGTCTGAAAACATCAGGTGCTCCACTAAAGATATTAAAAAAAAATGTAATCGTGATTTGGGGCTTATAATTGGTAAAACTTAAGATTTCAGTGGAAAAATATTTTTCATTAAT